TACCGTCATGGTCAAAAATATTGTCACCCACCTCGCATTTCTGTCAGATAATGCACCGCTTCGCACAGAAAATTGTTGCAATTACAAATGTTTTGGCATTCTCATGTTTATTTCTTTTGAAGAAACAAAAAAGCCAAATCTGACACGCAAAACCTCAAAAACTGATTAGACCAAAATATTGGCACCTTCTCGAAATTGTAAGAAACAATTGCAATTCAATTATGTGTGATGCTCCTGTAAATTGTAATTAAACTCACCTGTATCAATTAACAGATCTTAATGTTCCTGTGTCCACTGTGCGCAACATTGTCAAGAAGTCTACAGCCCATGGCACTGTAGCTAATCTCCCTGGACGTGGATGATAGAGAAAAAACTGATCAAATATTGCAACAAAGGATTGGTCGATTGGTAGCTAAAGAACCTCGATCAATTTCCAGACAAATTCAAGCTGACCTTCAAGCTGACCATCTGAATGAAAAGGGATGCTATGGTAGGAGACCGACTGTTGACACAGAAACATAAAAAAGATAGATTGGAGTTTGCCAAAACTTACTTGAGGAAGCCAAAATCCTTTTGGGAGAATGTGCTGTGGACAGACAAAACAAAATGGTAGCTTTTTAGTAAAGCCCATCATTCTACTGTTCTCAGAAAAAAGCAATGAGGCCTTTAAAGAAAAAAATCCACTCCCTCCAGTCACACATGGTGGGGGGTCACTGATGTTTTGGGGTGGCTTTGCTGCTTCAGGCACTGGATGTCTTGGCTGTGTGCATGGCATTATGAAATCTGAAGACTACCAAAGAATTCTGGGGTGCAATGTCGGGCCCGGAGTCGGAAAGTTGGGTCTCCATCAGAGGTCATGGGCCTTCCAGCAGGACAATGACCCAAAGCACATGTCAAAAAAACCCTAGAAATGGTTTCAAACAAAGCGCTGGAGAGGACTGAACTGGCCAGCAATGAGTCCAGAACTCCATCCCATAGAGCTCCTGTGGAGAGATCTCAGAACATCAGTTGGGAAAAGGAACCCTTCCAATCTGAGAGACCTGGAGGAGTTGGAGGAAGAAGAGCGCTCCAAAATTCCAGTAGAGAGGTGGAAGGAAACTCATTGATGGTTACAGGAAGCCATTGATTTCAGGTATTTTTTCCAAGGGGTGTGCTACCAAATATTACATTGAGGGTGCCAATAATTTTGTCCAGTCCATTTTTGTGGTTTTGCGTGGAATGCATCAGATTTGGCTTTTTGTTTCTCTACTTTTTTTGTGTCACCAATACAAACAAAAGAAATAAACATGAGAATGCCAAAACATTTGTCATTGTAGAAATTTTCTGGATGAAGTGGTGCGTTATCTGACAGAAATGCCTGGGGGGGACAAGATTTTTGGCCATGACTGTATGTTTTTAATTGGTACATGAATTAATTGTTGTAGGAAGCGCTACACTGACAAATAGTCTATCTTATAGAACAAGATTCTATTATTTCTTCATGCCATTTAATGAATACAGAATATCTGCTTAATACGGCTCTCTGTTCTCGATTAATGATCATGCATTTTACTTTGTCACCAGAGACTTCACTTTCCTCCTCGTCATTTGTCAGTTACCATCATTATAGAGGAATGGAGCTGCAAAGACATAACAACCCTTGAAGGACATATTAGTTCAACTACGGCCCGCGGGACGTATACGGCCCGGCGGACCTTTTAATCCAGCCCGCGGAGCGTGGCAAACATCGGCTGTCAGAATGTATGTAGGCGGGGCAGCGTGAGGAACGTGAGGGGAGCTAGGCTCCTCTCACAGTCCGCCTTGAAGACCGGAACGGCGCGGGAACACGGCGAGAGGAACGCGCGGAGCAAAGGTAAGTGAATTGACACAGGGGGGACTTGGCTTACTACTTGGGGGGGGGGGGAATAGTACTGTGGGGGATGAAATACTATATGAGGGATGAATTAATATGGGGGATGAATTAATATGGGGAATGAATTACTATAGGGGGGATGAATTACTATGAATTACTATATGGGGGATGAATTACTATATGGGGGATGAATACTATATGAATTACTATATGGGGGATGAATTACTATAGGGGGGATGAATTACTATGGGGGATGAATTACTATATGGGGGGGTGAATCACTATGGGGGATATTACTAAATGGGGGATGAATTACTATGGGGGATGGGGGGATATGAATTAACTATATGGGGATGAATTACTATGGGGGATGAATTACTATATGGGGGATGAATTACTATGGGGGATGAATTACTATATGGGGGATGAATTACTATGGGGATATGGGAGATATGAAATTACTATGGGGGATGAATTACTATGGGGGATGAATTACTATATGGGGGATTAATTAACTATGCTTACTATGGGGGATTAATTACTATGCTTACTATGGGGGAATATTACTATACTTACTATGGATGACACATACACATCATTCATCTACTCTTGGTCCGGCCCCCAATATATGAACCCATTGCGGCCCTCAAGTCAAAAAGTTTGCCCACCCCTGTATTAGTTCCTGTCTGTTGTTCAGTCTGGGTCAAGACCTAACCAAACCTTCCGTTTACCTTCACCCTCCAAACCTTTCTCAAGCCTTGGCAAGAAGAGTAACTCTTATCCAACCCAAGTCCTATCAGTTAATTATCTCCAGTCTGTTGTCTCTGTATACATTGAGGACAATACTCACTTTTATACCCAGAGTTCAGTGTGGGGGCTTCATATGTCTCCATCGCTGGATCTCCACTATGTTGGTTTAGGAGAGAGAACAATTTTAGACATGTCATCAAGGTACGTGATGGTAACAAAAGACACAGTCATAACAGAACTTCTTTCCATTGTGTCTCCATTGTGCAGCGGCAACAGGGCAATGTGCAGGAACCGTTCTCAGAAGAAAGGCAAAGTCAAGACATGCCATACAAAGCCATAAGATGTGCACCGTCCAGCCTCCGCTACCCAGTGAAGAGGACCATCCTTACATCCTCCAGCACATACACATAGCAGCCTTTTCAGTGCCAAAAGCGAGAACCCGTTATCCACCATTTCAAAATCTAGTATTCACCATTTCCCAAACCAGACATCACCATTTTAAAAACCAATATCCACCATCTACTGCAGGGGTGCTCAACCTTTCGAAAAGCGAGGGCCACTTAAGTGGTTTGGTAACTGGTCGCGGGTCACAATAAAATGAAATGGTTCAGAATTTCACATTTCTTCATTTTGAATAGCATAATGAACATTTTCCACCTGCAGTAGCTGAATGACGGTGGGAGGGAGAGGAGGAAAAGCCGGCTTTCAGTAGGTAGAGGAGGAAAATGGAGAGGATTGGTTCCTGTATACAGGGTCGTTTTAATAGCATAATGGGCCCCTGGGCAAAGTAATGCACTGGGGCCCCCTACAAGCCTGCCCCAATTTACGCACCTATTTTAAATAATTAATGTATAAATAGTTGATAGAATGAAACGTATATTTATTAGTACTTTTAATAAAATTGATTTTAAACAAAAAAAATGCCATAAATCAAAAACTAAATCAACACAAAGGGAGGCAGGAGGGCACAGTACAGGGGGAGTCAGGAGGGCACAGTACAGGGGGAGTCAGGAGGGCACAGTACAGGAGGAGTCAGGAGGGCACAGTACAGGGGGGGTCAGGAGGGCACAGTACAGGGGGAGTCAGGAGGGCACAGTACAGGGGGGAATCAGGAGGGCACCGTACAGGGGGATTCAAGAGGGCACAGTACAGGGGGAGTCAGGAGGCACAGTACAGGGGGAGTCAGGAGGGCAAAGTACAGGGGGGAGTCAGGAGGGCACCGTACAGGGGGAATCAGGAGAGCACAGTACAGGGGGGAGTCAGGAGGGCACAGTACAGGGGGAGTCAGGAGGGCACAGTACAGGGGGGAGTCAGGAGGGCACAGTACAGGGGAGTCAGGAGGGCACAATACAGGGGAGTCAGGAGGGCACAGTACAGGGGGAGTCAGGAGGACACAGTACAGGGGGAGTCAGGAGGGCACAGTACAGGGGGGGTCAGGAGGGCACAGTACAGGGGGAGTCAGGAGGGCACAGTACAGGGGGAGTCCAGGAGGGCACAGTACAGGGGTCAGGAGGGCACAGTACAGGGGGGAGTCAGGAGGGCACAGTACAGGGGGAGTCAGGAGGGCACAGTACAGGGGGGAGTCAGGAGGGCACAGTACAGGGGGGAGTCAGGAGGGCACAGTACAGGGGGGAGTCAGGAGGGCACAGTACAGGGGGGAGTCAGGAGGGCACAGTACAGGGGGGAGTCAGGAGGGCACAGTACAGGGGGGAGTCAGGAGGGCACAATACAGAGATCAGGAGGGCACAGTACAGGGGGAGTCAGGAGGGCACAATACAGGGATCAGGAGGGCACACTACAGGTTCTGGGATGCAGTTGACGAGCATGACATAATGCAAGATTATTATGGGCCCCCCGGGCACCTGGGCAGTGTGCCCATACATTAGGACAGCCCTGCCTTAATATGCTACCCTTGCAGCCTTCCTATCCAAGTGTAAAACAGAATGTGACAGGGAGGCTGCACGGGTCCCCCGCATGGGGCAAGGTCACCACTGCGATCCCTGACACTACACCAGTGGTTGGGGGTGTGGTAAAACCACAACTCAACTATGAGGTTTTAACGCCCCCCCCCCCCAAACCGCAAATGTAAAGAAGCCCTTACTGTCCTGAGCCCCCTATAAGGCTGATTTCACACTGATACGCTGCAGTTTGCCATAGACTTCTACTATATCTTGCAGGTGTGGTGCACCAGAACTCCTACAGTTTTAGTTTGAGGGCCACATCAGAGGGCTTGGAGGTTGAGCACCCCTAATCTACTGTATATGCCATTCAGGACTCCCACATTTACATTGTTACAAACAGAGAGTGCTGTTATACAGACACCCAGACCTCCTACTCTTCATAGAAGGAAAGAGCTTACAATTAACTATGAAACTGTAACTCACCTTACAGAGCTCTTTTACCAAAATGATGAAAACTTCTTGCCGAACGCAGACACAGCTGTGAAATAAAGCACAAAAGCATGTCAATGTCACAAAAGAATAATGGTTTGTGTTACATATTTACATGCTAAGCAATACTGACATACATCATATCCTTTGTTGTGTCAGAGGCTTGGCCTGAGCTGAGAATATGTGTTCTGCGATGGATGTTATACGTCTGGACCAGAATCATGTTCCTATTCCCTCTTGTCAATGATGCAAGCCCATGTGGCTGGCTAACTGAGGTGAGGCCATTGACAGGGGTAGGAGGGAATGAGGGGGAGCTCGCTTCAAGTAAAACTGGTTGTGATACCCATTGGCCAATCAACCTTGGGGGAAAGGGTGGGGTATTCCTTTCCAAGCCCATAGGACGGTTCTGTGGTCCAAAGTGAATAGGGTTAAATGGGCCATGAATGGTTCTGATGGCTGGGTCAAGGATAGGATTTTCAACACCAGCTCATCGGTCCAATCGCAACAATACCAATCATCGCTTGGCTGTCGCGATCAGGCTCCCTTCCTAGCTCACAGGACGGTTCTGTGTTCCAAAGTGAATAGGGTTAAATGGGCCATGAATGGTTCTGATGGCTGGGTCAAGGATAGGATTTTAAAACACCAGCACATCAATCCGATCGCAACAAGAATAATCACCGCTTGGCTGTCGCAATCAGGCTCCCTTTCCAGCCCACAGGACGGTTCTGTGTTCCAAAGTGAATAGGGTTAAATGGGCCATGTATGGTTCTGATGGCTGGGTCAAGGATAGGATTTTCAACACCAGCTCATCGGTCCGATCGCAACAATACCAATCATCGCTTGGCTGTCGCGATCAGGCTCCCTTCCTAGCTCACAGGACGGTTCTGTGGTCCAGAGTGAATAGGGTTAAATGGGCCATGTATGGTTCTGATGGCTGGGTCAAGGATAGGATTTTAAACACCAGCACATCAATCCGATCGCAACAAGAATAATCACCGCTTGGCTGTCGCAATCAGGCTCCCTTTCCAGCCCACAAGACGGTTCTGTGTTCCAAAGTGAATAGGGTTAAATGGGCCATGAATGGTTCTGATGGACGGGTCAATGATAGGATTTTCAACACCAGCCCATCTGTCTGATCACAACAATACCAATCATCACTTGTCTGTCGCGATCAGGCTCCCTTCCAAGCCCACAGGACGGTTCTGTGGTCCAAAGTGAATAGGGTTAAATGGGCCATGAATGGTTCTGATGGCTGGGTCAAGGATAGGATTTTCAACACCAGCACATCTGGCTGATCACAACAATACCAATCATCGCTTGTCTGTCGCGATCAGGCTCCCTTCCAAGCCCAAAGGACGGTTCTGTGGTCCAAAGTAAATAGGGTTAAATGGGCCATGAATGGTTCTGATGGCTGGGTCAAGGATAAAATTTTTAGCATCAGCACATCAGTCCGATCGCAACAAGACCAATCATCGCTTGGCTGTCACAATCAAGCTCCCTTCCTAGCCCACAGGATGGTTCTGTGGTCCAAAGTGAATAGGGTTAAATGGGCCATGAATGGTTCTGATGGCTGGGTCAAGGATAGGATTTTTAACACCAGATCATTGGCTCGATCAAAACAATACCAATCATCGCTTGGCTGTTGCGATCAGGCTTCCTTCCCAGCCTACAGGACGGTTTCTGTGTTCCAAAGTGAATTGGAATAAATGGGCCATGAATGGTCCTGATGGCTGGGTCAAGGATAGGATTGGCTGCCACAATCAGGCCCCACACAACCGTTTTGTGGGTTTCTCTCGGATTCTATATATACTACACAAACCATTTTATATGTACACGGACCCCAAAATGTGTCCGATCAGAAGGAATTATTTTCATCTCTCTAATATTTTAGTTTTTATGAGAGATAGAATAGATTCCTCTGATCTTTGATATACATCAATGGTCGTAGACATTTGGAAGCCTCCAGGGTGCACAGGCTTCATCCCCTGCCGGGCCTGAAGACAAACTGACTAGATCTTTCCTTTGAGGCTTCAGGAGGTGATAATTCTACATCTACAAGGATAGGGGAATTTTATTGGCACCCAGATGTCACTTCTGGTCTAAAGGCTTGCTCCTTTTCATACTTTAATTGAGGAACATATACGGGTTGGACAAAAGTATGGAAGCACCAGGTAAAAGAATGAAATCGTTACCCAATGTGGTGTTGGACCACCTTTGGCACCCAATACGGCCTGAATTCTCCTGGGAATTGACAAATATACTGTAAGTCTTGGATGGTGGATAATGGAATCTGATACCATACTTCATGCAAAAATCGCAGAGATGCCGGAGGTGGAAAACGAGCCTTGTTCTCCAAAATTGACCATAATGGCTTTATGATGTTGGGGACCGGTGACTGCGGTGCCCAAGGAGGGTCTGTATGATTATCAAACTTCGATTTGACAGCACCAGCTGTGTGAACTGGAGCGGTATCATCTTGGTAAATGGCGCTGTCTTCGGGAAACAATGTCTGCACCATGGGGTACACATGGTCGGCCAAAATGTGTACATAGTCACTGGCAGTGATTGTACCTTTCAAGGTGATGATGGGGCCTACAGAATACCAAGATATGGCCGCCCAAACCATGATTGCACCACCACCTTGCTATACCGTTGGCACAAGACAGTCCTGGCGGTAACACAAAATAAATAAGCACAGCGCTAAAAGTAATGAGTATTATAAATATCTGTCCATAAATATATAAATAAAATTAATACGTAATACGTAATGTATATACGTATTAAATGAATCAGTAGAGGTCCCCTTTAGGAGTTGGATATGATCCTGGTCAAGGATAATTCTCCCTCTAGGCAAGGTGGTGCTGTCAGGAGCTCACAGAAGGTAAAGGATCCAGCTGGCCAGAGGTCCCTTTAAGGGATGGATGGGTGTAGATGCCTGCTTACAGGAACCCCCCTCTCTGGATACTGCAGATAGCTGGGTCAGGTGGGCTCTACAAATAAATTGCTCCTTCTCCTTTGTCTTCGGAAAAGTCCTGAATCTTTCATCTGTTGGATCATTTTGTAATAGACTGTAAGAGCCGGACTCCAGCGGGAGGCCACCAGCGAGACACGAGCAGCCTCTCCTCTTCTCCTCACAACACCAAGGCCGACCTCTGACACAAGCACGCTTCTACACTTCAAAGCGGGCCTCCTTCCCCGCCCACGATTGGCTACTAGCAGGGGTGGACTGACAACTCATGGGGTCCCCGGGCAATAGGGGATTATGGGGCCCCCGTGTCCTCGCCCACACCCAAAAAAGACAATGAAAGGTACCAGGGGCATCTCATGGGGCCCCCCTACTGACCCTGGGCCCTCAGGCAGTGCCCAAGTGGCTAAATGGTCAGTCCGCCCCTGGTTACTAGCAATGTCAAGCTTGACCTTGCTGCTGGGGGTCAATTGTTGTTTGGATGGAACTAATGTTGAGTGGGGGGTCTACTGTTGCCGGGGGATCTATTGTTGCTGGAGGGGTCTCTTGTTGCTGATGGGCCTGTTGTTGCTGGGCAGGGTCTTATGTTGCTGGGGGGGGTCAATTGTTGTTCAAATTAAACTACTTTTGAGGGAGCGGTCTACTGTTGATGGGGATCTATTGTTGCTGGAGGGTTTTATTGTTGATGATGGAACTATAGCTGCTGGGCAGGGTCCTATGTTGTTGAGGGGGGGGTCAATTTTTGTTCGGATGGAACTACTGTTAGGGGGGGGTCTACTGTTGCTGGGGATCTATTGTTGCTGGAGGGGTCTGTTGTTGCTGGCTGCATTGGATCTATTTTGCCGCTTTTCATGTTATAATGAACACATTCTTTAGCACCACAGAATGATATTTGGCTCTGTATCCTCTGAAAGGGGCAGTACTGGGAGGCAGGTAGGGGGTAGAACCAATGGACAGTACTCGGAGATGGGTAGGGGGGTGGACACAAGGGGGGGATTCGGAAGGGGGGGACCTACACCTTGGTTGCAGGTATTTACGCTTGTTGAATGTAATCAGCAAATAAAGGATCAAATGGTGTCTTCTATACCTGCCTGGAGTTCAGCCCACGTACTACCTCCAGGCCACACTGATGGGCCCCCCTTGAGCTTTACCTTCAGTAAGTTTGCCTGCTTGTTCAGCTGCACCTCCAGGAAGAATTTTGGAGAACATGCTCTCCCCTTCGGGTCCAGGATGTCCCGGTGCCGTTCCTCCAGGCGTTGCCATCGGCTTCTGACCAATTTTGATACCTGTGAAAAAAAAAAAAAGTCAGAGAGGTCAGAGAGTGCAGAAGGCTGATGAGGTTGAGCAGCACCTCCCATAAGCACCCCGTCCACTCTCCTCTATCTGATCATCTGCGGGGGGTTGTAGGAGGTGGTCACACTTTTCATGGAAAACTCCCTCACAATCCCAGAGCCATGAGCTTACCTGCAGCTGGCCCTGGTGCTGGAGCCTGCGGTCCCCTTACTGGCTGAGGAGTCGGTTTTGCAGCAGTCTTGGAACTGTCCACTGGCTCGACTTTCGGCTGGAATTGGAGAGAAGAAAAAATCTGTATAACATGCTTTCCTCGGGTTTCTCTTGGATCTTTCGCATACAGAAACTGACGAGATTCGCGGAGGGTGTCACAGGGCGAATATGCTACGTTGTGCCCCCCCCCCCCTCCAAGATGTGCGAGCACTATGTGTCAGCAAAAATCCCCCCCAAAAAAATGTGAGCACTAATATGCATGCCTAGCCCCTAAGCATAAATTCCCCCTCCTCCCAGTACAAACCCAGCCCCCTTCTGAAATCCCCCCTCCCAGCACAAATCCCTGCCCTACCCCATCCCCCCAGCTTAAATTCTTTCACTCCTCATATGCCCCTTCACAAACCCCCCCCCCCTAAAAAAAAAATCCCCCTCCTCCTATTTGTGAGCACTGTGTGTCAGCAAAAATCCCACCCCCCTCAAAAAAAAATTGAGCACTAGTAAGCATAAATCCCCCCCCCCCCAGTACAAATCCAGCCCCCTGCTGAAATCTCCCCTCCCTGCACAAATCTTCACAACACCCCCCCCCCCCCCCCCGTAAAAAAAAAAAATTCCCCCTCCTACCACAAGTCCTCTGCCCCTTAAACTTTCCATCCGAGCACAAATTATCTCCCACTTCCACACCAAATCCCCCCTCAAAACTCAAATTCCCCTCCCCTAATCCCCCATCCTAGCACAAATCCCCCCCCCCCCCCCAAAAAAAATATTTTCCCCTTCTAGCATAAATCCCCCCCCAGCACCATATTACCTTTTCTAGCACAACCCCCCTAAATCCCCCCTTCTAGCACAAATCCTCTTCCCACCCCAACACAAAATCCCCCCCCCCCCCCCAAGTCACCACACCCCAAATGTCCCCTCCTTGAACAATTCTTACCCCCTGCAGCTCCCCAAATTCCCCCTTCCAATACAAGTCCCCTCCTCCCTGAATCCAGTGAAGGGAACTCTTAAGCAACATTTTGGACAATTTCATGCTCCCAACGTTGTGGGAAGAGTTTGGGGAGGGCCCCTTCCCTGTTCTAACATGACTGCCACCAGTGCACCAAGCAAGGTCCACAAAGACATGGAGGAGCCAGTTTGAGGTGGAGGAACTTGACTGTCCTGCACAGAGTCCTGACCTCAACCCCATAGAACACCTTTGGGATGAATTAGAGTGGAGACTGCGAGCCAGGCCTCCTCCCCCGACATCAGTGCCTGACCTGACAAATGTGCTTCTGGAAGAATGGTCCAACCTTCCCATAGACACCCTCCTAAACCTTGTGGACGGCCTTCCCAGAAGAGTTGAAGCTGTTATAGCTGCAAAGGGCGGGGCCAACTCAATATTGAACCCTACGGACTAAGACTGGGGGGGCCATTAAAGGTCATGTGTGTGGAAAGGGCGGGGCCAACTCAATATTGAACCCTACGGAGTAAGACTGGGGGCCATTAAAGGTCATGTGCGTAGAAAGGCTGGTGGACCATTACTTGGGACAGTATAGTGTATATCAAGCATGCTATCCCATGGGACATGAGTAGGGGCGGACTGACCATTTGAAACTCGGGCACTGCATGAGGGCCCAGGGTCAGCATGGGGCCCTATGAGATGCCCCTGGACAGGAGCCCCATGATCCCCTATTGCCCGGGGGCCCCATGAGTTGTCAGTTCGCCCCTGGACATGAGTGGCTTTTATAAAGACCAAACTTGATGTCCTTCAGTTAAAGCTGGCTTCCTCCCCTGCAGTAAACGTCTAGGCTTTTGTACATTAGCACTGATATTAATTGTTTAGTGACATTTACAAGTGATATTTGCACTGAAAGTTGTTTTACTTACTGGCACAGTCGATGGAGCACTGGACTGCAAGGTCTGTTGAGTCTGTTTTACTGGTTGTTGTGGCGGCGGCTGCTGCTGTTGCTGCTGTTGCTGCTGTTGTTGCTGCTGCTGCTGCTGTTGTGTTCTCGAGGTTGTCTGACCTTGACTTCCTTGTGGCGGCTGCTGCTGCTGCAGATGCTGCTGCTGCTGATGCTGCTGCTGCTGCTGCTGCTGCTGCTGCTGCTGTTGTTGTCGAGAAACTGGCAGTCCTTGGCCTGCAGATTGCTGCTGTTGCTGCGGTTGTTGCTGTTGTCCCTGTCCTCTTGTTGGTTGAGACAAACCCTGCTGATGCTGAGTCTGAGGATGAGTCTGGTGGGAAGACGGTTGGTGAGATGTTTGATGTGAGCCTGGCTGATGAGAAGATGGATGAGAAGATTGTTGTGATGGTCCCATCTGCTGCTGTTGCCTTGAACCTTGTTGCTGAGGCTGCTGCTGTCTTGCTTGCTGTGCCTGGCCTGATTGGGACTGTTTAGTTTGCTGTGGAATCTGATGGTGGGAATCTGCTTTTTGTTGCTGAGACATCTGGGCCTGTCGTTGGGATTTCTGTGATTCTGAACTATGGTGATAACTGGATGATTGCCTCGACTGCTGTGAATACTCAGAACCTGGTGGATATCCACCCTGTGACCTTGCATCTGATGGCTGTGATTTTTTCATAGACGATGATGGTTGGGAATGTGATCGAGATTCATGACGCACTTGGTCCCTGGGATGTTGCTTAGAAGATCGCCTTGGCTGATCGTCTATATGACGGGAAGAGGAATGTCTTCCAGAATCTCCGTGATGTCTATGATCTTTAGAAGATGAATGGCGAGGCTGAGAATAGTCATCATGTTGCCACATATCCTCATCTGGAGGCTCATCGTAATCATGATAAGTGTGTTTAACTGGAATCTTTTTCTGAACCGAAGTGTGGCTGCCATGATACCTTGACCGCTCTGAACGAGCTTCTCTTGGTTTATCAAACCAGTCTGTTTCCTCCTGACCCAAATGATAGGCTTTGGAAACCAAAAACAAATCACGATCAGCTGTTGTGGCCAATGGTGAAGCGTAGATAGACTGAAGCCATGCAACAAATGGACAGGAAGCAGCTGATAACATGCAAAAGTGGTGGAAAAACACCAAAGAAACCATCAACTGACTGACAAAATAAAATATCGGGACGCACCATAATCAACGACATGAAACAGAAAAACACAAATGAAACTGCTGAACAGCACCATGCTGACACAAAAAATAGGATGAATAAGAAAGGCACATCATGCAAATTCAGGAAGAAGGCATATCATTCTATGAACTGCACGGGACAAAAAAATGAGGCGCTCGACTCCAGCATGCTGAGATCTCACCATTTATAGTGTTTACCTTCACTGTCTGACACAACACAGTGTGAATCGTCCATCATGTAATTTTCTTCTGGCTTGTATATATGGTTTCTTGGCACTTCCTTTACATGTTCTTGTACATCAGGCAGTGAGTGACTGGAGCAGAACTGGGGACAACTATCCACTGTGGACTGGGACATTCCACCACTTGAACGAGACCCAGACTTTCCTAGTGGGCTGACAGGACTTTCTTCTTCTGAAGCCTGCGATCGCATTGGAGCTCGCCCCCGACTTTGACTCATAGTGAGTGTAGAAGGTTTGGAGCTTGACTTATGATACCTGTCCGATGAGTCCCTTTCGTAGGATTTGCTCCTACTGCTTCCTGAATCACGACTTGACTTTTCCAGACCATAACTGGATGCTGACCTTGAACGGCTTCCGGAACTGTAAATTCTATCGTCTTCTTCTACCATGTCTCTACCGGACATTCCATAATATTTTTGCTGCTCGTACACATTTTTCTTTAGGCCGTATGTTATCTCATCCTGAAGTTTTTTTGCTCTTGAGGACACACTACTACTACTGCTCATTGATGTTGTCACTGGATAGGAAGCTGCCAGGTCAGATTCGACGTCTTTAGCTTCCTCAATTGGAGAAAATTTAGAAATTTTTTGTTCCATTCCCTGTTTTCTGTGCTTGCTGCGCTTGGATGACACAACAGCTGGAGCCAAATTCTTGGAAGGGTGTTTTGGCATTCCCATGCTAGAACCATGTTTATCTAACCGTGACGGGTGTCGAGGATCATTATCTACATAGTAGTAAGAGCCACCAACAGAATCACGACCGTTACCATCACTGGTACGTTGATAGCTGTTTCTTCCACGATAATCTGAACCGTGGTGGTCATATACATCATCTTCCGACTCTTCCTCTGCTCTAGAATAACAACATGGCTTGTTTAAACTATCGCTTTCCATATGACCGTTTCTCTCCTTGATATGACGGCCATTGTTATTCTGTTGAAGAGACTGAGAAGGAGGTTCGATTTTTTGGCATTCTGATACTGGTGGGTTCTCTTTAGTCAGTTCACTTATATCGTCAATCATCACATAGTTACGAGGGATATTTTGTTCCAGATTTGTGTAAAGGGAGTCTGATGTGTAACTATTTGAGGGGCTTTCTGCTCCGTTACCTCTGTCAGTCTGCCTTGGGTCTCCTGCCTTGTACTGGTCAAAAGTGCTGGCTGCAGTTGTGCTACTGAAGGCTGTGTCTGGAGTTGCCGAGGATATGACCACAGTAGGATTTGCTATCACTTCATAATTTGTAGGAACTTTGTGTTCTAGATCAGCCAGCGATGTCTGCCTTGGCTTCTGGTGGGTGCTAAGTGTGTCTGTATGTGATGGAAAACCTGAGTTCAAAGAAGTTTGTAATGGAGTTTGATTTGCATAGGTAGTGTGGGCTTGATAATTAGGATTTGGTGGTCGGAAACCTGTATGATTTTGCAGGCCTAAATCTGTCTGATAGTTTGTTGTTGGGGCAATGTTGTGAGTCTGATATGTTTGTGTAGGATAATTTGATATTTGAGCCTGAAAGCTATTTTGAGATGGACCATTGGTAGATACAGGATATTGGGACTGCTCAAATCTGGTTTGTTGGAGAGAAGTAGTAACTGGGGTAACTGTTTGGCCGGTTGTGTACTGGTAAGTGTTAGAGATGTAAGAAGAAGTTGAAGTTTGAAACTGCTGTGCACTCTGTAACTCTGAATATTGAGGGGCAGGACCTGGCCTGTTCAATAGGTTGCTGCTGTCATAACCAGAAATCCGCATATTGTTGAGTTCACTGTCTGACATGTAATCCCTATTTTCACCCATAGATCTGATGTAAGAGACATCTCTTCTACCACCCGTATCTTTCACCAGAGACTCCTTCCTCTGAGTGATACCAAGCTCGAGATATTTGAGTTTAGCATCAATCTCCTTCTCTTCTTCTTCCAGTTCTGCTTGCTGCTTGCGAAGTTTTGTTGATTCTTGCTCTACAATCTTCAGGTCATGGTCAAGAGTTTTCATAAAACCAACTTTTGGCAGCTGAATTGCTTGCCCTGCTGTCATCTTCTGTGTGAGAATCGGCATGTACATTTGGGTGTGCGCCTGACTTGTGGTGAGAGGAAGATGACCTTCATCGGGAGGTGGACTGGGTAGAGTCCGCTTCACTTTGCGTGTCAATGTATTTGGCTGGAAAGCTGAAATCTACAATGAATAAAATACATGTGTAGACTGCCATGGTATATACAATTAACAATAAGCTAAGTATTGTCCAATAATAAATAATTAGGTGACTCTAATACCTATATTAATAATAATATTGTATACAGACAACTAACAATGAACTGAAAACTGCCAACAAATCTATGTAACTGAGGAATCTATGTACTGAAGGAAAACCAAATGGTGTCATCTGTAGACAATATATTATACATTGGTGTTCTAGCCCAGGGGTCTCCAAACTTTCTCAACAAAAGTGCCACTTTACTGTCCTTCAGATTTTAGAGAGGCAGTTCCCCATCTTTGTATCAGTGGGAGGAATTGTGCTCCATCATTGATGTCAATGGCAGAAAAAGTGCCTCATCATTGGTATCAGTGGAATGAATAGTGTCCCATCATTGGTGTCAGTGGGAGGAATAGTGCCCCATCATTGGTGTCAGTACGAGGAATAGTGCCCCATCATTGGTGTCAGTGGGAGGAATAGTGTCCCATCATTGGTAGCAGTGGGATGAATAGTGTCCCATCATTGGTATCAGTGGGAGGAATAGTGCCCCATCATTGGTATCAGTGGGATGAATAGTGTCCCATCATTGGTATTAGTGGGAGGAATAGTGCCCCATCATTGGTGTCAGTGGAAGGAATAGTGCCCCATCATTGGTGTCAGTGGGAGGAATAGTGCCCCATCATTGGTATCAGTGGGAGGAATAGTGCCCCATCATTGGCATAAGTGGAGGGAATTGTGCCCCATCATTGGTATCAGTGGGAGGAATAGTGCCCCATTGTTGGAGTTAGTGGGAGAAATAATGCTCCATAATTGATGTCAGTGGGAGGAATAGTGCCCCATCATTGGTGTCAGTGGGAGGAATAGTGCCCCATCCTTGGTGTCAATGGGAGGAATAGTGCCCCATTATTGGTATCAGTGGGAGGAATACTGCTCCATAGTTGGTGTCTATGGGAGAAATAGTGTCCCATCATTGGTGTCAGTGGGAGGAATAGTGCCCCATCATTGGTATAAGTGGGGGGAATAGTGCCCCATCATTAGTATCAGTGGGATGAATAGTGCCCCATTGTTGGTGTCAGTGGGAGGAATAATGCTCCATAAATGGTGTCAATGGGAGGAATAGTGTCCCATCATTGGTAACAGTGAGAGGAATAGTGCCCAAGCATTGGTGTCAATGGGAGAAACAGTGCCTCATCATTGGTATTAGTGGAAGGAATGGTGCCCAATAATTGGTATCAGTGGAAGGAACAGTTCTCCATTGTTGGTGTCAGTGGAAGGAATATTTCCCCATTATTGGTTTCTAGAGGAGAAATTATTCCCCATTGTTGGTGTCAGTGGAAGGAATATTTCCCCATTATTGGTTTCTAGAGGAGAAATTATTCCCCATTGTTGGTGTCAGTGGGAAGAATAATGCCCCAAAGGCTGGATAAAGGCAATCAAATGGCCGCATCCGGCCCCTGGGCTGCAGTTTGGAGACCACTGTTCTAGCCTATTAGGACTAGGATGGGCCCATCCCCATCAAGAAAAACATTCTGAACAATACAGAAAGACACAATTTGGTTGTATAACTGATGAAGTGAGTCA